TACTTTTACACTAGAAGCACACGAATTTTCACGTATTCATCCCTTGGTATATACATAACTGGCTCTTGAAGGGGCAGTGTACGTATTCGATAACACAGAATTTCTCGATATCGCCCAAGCACTTCATGACAAATACATAGGAATAAGCACTCTATTCACTACCTGTTTTCTGATTATTTTAGACCTCACTTCTTCTCAGTCAGACCACCCAGATAACGTTCCCATTTGTGTTCTAGCCCACTAGCGTGTCCTTTGTGTATACTTACTCACACATACACAAGCATGCACATTAAGTAGTCCATTTCAGTTCTTATATTTGGAATTCAAAAGACTTTTCTTCGGTTATAGTATTGAACTGAGTGCTATATCCAATCTCCACTGATCGCCCAAATTAACTGACAGTGTTATCATCTCCTCCTCACCGTCCATCGTCCAACTGCCCCGCGAGGATGCCCCCAACGTCGTATTTCGCAGCCTCCTTATCATACAATAGTCAACCAAAATGTAAAATTTTGTTTCAGTATTCTAAATGTTGTTTTCATCCTAATTGTTTACAAAATCAGTTTGTGTTATTGTACAACACGAAAAATACATGTTTGATTACTATAAATATGATTGTTATTATTATTATCAAATGTATAACTTACTATCTATCATATAATGCATCTTTCGTAAACATAGTTTTATACAAATTTATATGACTCATAAAAATACATTATTTGACTACTTTTAAAAAAAGCTTCATCAACATATTCATTCCACTTAAACAACAATGTCGGCATTAAAATGTATTTTATTTTATTTTATTTTTGTGATATATTTGTGTGATATAAATAAATAAACTCCGGTTGTTTTGTATTCTTTTGAAAATAAACAAACCGCGCCATGTTTAATTTTGAATAATAGTCCACACAATGTCAATCCAACTTGCTTTATTTCTATTCACATACCACGCATAACAATAGTTATTAATCATGATAATATTATTTGTACAAGACTCCGTGTATATTTGGAAGATGACAAAACAAACAAGCAAACGAACAAACGAATAAACAAGTAATTCATGTTTCAAGTTTCAATTTTCATTTTTCAATTATTGTTATTATTATTATTGAAATTTGAAATGCGTAGTAATCAGTTGAGTACTATAAATATTGGTGCGTGTATCATTAGAATTTTGAAGCAAAATAGAAATAGAAGAAGTCATGAAACAATTTCTTTTGACAATGATTTTAGTGCACATAATTATGACATTACTTTTATTGCAATCGAGTCATTGCGGATCGACTAAAAATAACACTAGTCAGAATGGTATGTCCAAGAAAAATGCTCTTATTACTTATTCGAATGTATTTTTCTTGTTATAACTTATAAATTACTTGTTTTCAAATGATCGTGTGCTCGCTAGTTAGTGACTAGCTTCGTGGGAAAGTTACTCCGCTTACTGGTGACAAGTCGTGACCAGTGGAGTTCAAACTTGTTCGGATGTGAAGCAGTAAATTGATCGAAATTAGACATTAACACTGTTGTATGCCGGTTCAGTCATTCAGAAATTAAGCGTTCAAGCGCAAGCCCGAGGCTCCTGGGTTCAAATCCTTTGAGTACCTAGAGTCGTAGACATGCGCTGCTGTTGAGTCCCAGGCCAAGACGAAACGGCTAGTAAGTGCTTGTGAGTTTCTGATGATTGTCTAACGTTGATCAATTCATGACTTCAACAAAATTATAATTTAGCGATTTTTTAATATCCGAGCTGAAAAACGTAAATATGTGGAAGATCGAGCGATGACAGAAGAAATCGTGGCAAGGGAAGGAAACATGAGACAACTAAGTGATGCAACAAAGAAGCTTGCTGGAAAATCTAGTAAGCCGAAACGACCAGACAAGATCAAGAAAGAACACTGAAACAGGTGAGTAGAGCACTTTGAAGAACTCTTGAATTAACCAGCTTCAATGAACCCATTCAACATCGACAAAGCATCTACAGACCTCTCAATAAATGTTGCAGAAGTCGACATGACCATCAGACAAATCAAGAGCGGCAAAGCACCGGTACCTGATAACATTCCAGCTGAGGCACTGAAGACAGATGTAACAGTAACTGCAAAGACACTCCAGATTCTTTCCAGTAAGATTTTGAAGGAAGAACAAGTACCAGCAGACTGGGAAAAAGGTCACCTCATCCAGATACTAAAGAAAGGAAGTCTTAGCAAATGTGAGACGTACAGAGGCATCAGTCTTCTCACGATACCAGGAAAAGTCTTCACTATGAAATCATGGGTCATTTATTTATAACTTATAAAATTACTGAAATAATCATTTTTATTGACTTTTTCTGTTGACAATTTTGCATTAAAATATGAATATTTTTCATTTTATTTGATACAGCTAAAAATTCTACGTAAGTCTATACTTCGTGATTTCATTGTACAACTCGTAAACTGTTTATATCTTTAAAAGGGTTTACGAAATGAATTCAGTAGATACGGAAATCTTATTCATTCGTCACACATTTTATGATGAAGTTTCATTCTCTGATCTGAGGATGTTTTAGTTATGGACGGCGTCATTGTTGTTCTTCTGGTAAAGAGAACACCATCATCAGCATAAACTTCAGGTAGAAGATATAAGTGAGGTGAACGGATTTCTCCACACTCCAATCGTACCTCAAACTGTCAAACTCGATCTGAACTAGTTGTTGTTATTGAAATTTACCTGGTCATTTACTGCATTTTTATTTTCATTGTATCCCACCGAAATCTGTTTTATAAATATTTGTTCAGTGTATAAGAATGACAATTGGCTGAGCGTGGTGACGTGCACATGTAATCTAGCTACTTATAAACCAGGGTGCAGGATTTGATCGTAAGTCCACGCTAAGTCTGACAACTGTTGTCCATGCAGTACATGCATGACAGTAGTGCAGGGTGTCAGTCAGGAACCATGAAACAGGCAGTAGGTTATTTTATATTGATCGCGTTGTTTTAGAATGACTTACATTCAACAGGATTCACGTTATCAATTCTATAATTTTTGAATAAAACTAGCAGTATTTGGGATAGATTTCTGTAAGTAATTGATAAAATTTCAAAATTAAAATTTGATATTTGATTAAACCCTGTTTTTGTTTTCAAACTTATTCATCTACCTAATATCTCATGTTAACCTCCGATGGAGTATAAGCCGCCGACCAGCATTCTTCAGCCTTTCAGTTGTTTTGAGATGGTCTTTATCATAGAAATGCTGACCTTATTTTGACCAATTCATGTTTTTACATCCATATGTAATCCGCCGTCTTGATCAATGATTCCAATTCACATGTATGTAAATGTGAGCTTCTCCATCGATAGTTATTTGGTTGGTGTATGTTGTATTGTATCGCAGGATCTTTCTTTTTCTTTTGTGTATGTTGAGACTTACTAATGCAGAAATCGCTCCTAAACTGGTCGTCTTCAGCTGCATTTATTGCAGTGTATAAAATGGAACTGCTAACTATTCTACGAAGTCCAAATTATCTAGCTACATCCGTGTCGTCTATATTATTTCTTGCCTCTCTTAAGATATTGACGTATTCATAATCCAGTCAATCACCACTTAAAAGAGAAAGGATAAGAGTTAGAAATCTTGTCTAACATCGAATCTATGAACTGCTGCCATCCGCGAATACTTTTATAAAATATTCAGACTTTTTTCAACATTCAATAAATACTAAACATTCTATGTAGTGAATTGAATCCCTTGAGAATTTTAATTATATAATTAGATTGTTGATTTATCTATTAAAAGTGGTGCAGCCAATGGATTTTGGTAAGTTTAATCTTGAAAAGTTTGTTTGTTTTTTTGAGTTAAGAACTCATTATTTAGATATATTCATTATCGATTATACTTGCAGTGGAGTCAAGGTAGCTTTTCTCTCTTCCTATTTACTATCAGGACTCGCTGCTGAGCCCATTTGGTAACTCGCTTGTCCAACAGGGTGAAGATTGATTCGAGTATATATTGATAGTTTGAAACTTCCCACTGATGTTTACAACTATAGTTGATCAGTCCATCTTGTTCGGATTGCCTGGATATTGTCTTTCGTTGACAAACATTACATTAGCAGAGATGGATGTAGGCTAGCAGTAGAATTCAAGACGAGCATTTCGCCGCAATAGGGACTCAATGCGTTATCCGTTTAGCCGACAAGTCTCAAATGGTAATTACTAATTATTTAAATCATAAACTGTTTACAGTATCTTGAAATAAAATTAATTTATAGAATAATAATAATAATAATAATAATGATAAATTTACTTTATTTTAGCTCTCTTATTTCACTTTGGTATGTGATTTGAATTAACTGTAATGATTCTATAATTCACAATTAGAATATTCTAAAGTAGTTTCTACGAGCATTTTGATTGGATAGTATTCTTTTTGAAATCATGTGTATCGATTATTTGTTAGACCATCAATAGAAGTAAACATAGCAACATTGAATGGCCATTTTCTCATAGTATGGAATTCATCAGTATTACATATCCACGACAGTCGCATACAGGACTCGAACCGATGACTTTCGGTCTTGTGCATGGACTTCTAGACTACTGAGTCGGCATCCAACTGTGTTAACTTTTAACTATGGTGAATGTAAGGTTTTCGCTCAACCTCACCTAATGTCTTCTTTAGTAGCTAACTGACAACAGTGGTCACAGCTTCTCGCTGTTGATGAGTCCCATAGCAGGAAGAAACGGCTGTTCAGTGTTTCCAGGTTTCTAATGGCGATTCAGCGATGATTAATTCATAACTTCAATGTTTAAACAAACATCTCGAAAACTTTACAGTGAAAAATCTTAAAAATTACAGTTGATATTTTATAGTTAATGCTAATCATGAAGAAATTTATTTAGACAAGTTCATGATGAATAATTAATCTCAATTTATATTTTCTTTATTTCATAAATCTTCAATTATGCACTCATATTCGATTTATTTACATTTTGATATTGTTTGCATTTTAGGAATACGATCAGCAGCTTTTTGCCTTGGAAATGAAGACTGTGAAACGATTCAAATTCCTGCAGTTTTTAACGCGATTACCAATAAAATTCAGTGTTTTTTTAAACGCCTAGATTTTCTTACTTTAAACAATTTGTTTAAGCGTAAGATTGATAGTAAAATATTCCGGGGTTCTAATCATTAGTCAAAGAGTTTTTTAAAGGTAAAGGTTTGTGGATCCATGTACTATCACTAGTCATTTTACAAACAAGGTGACTTTACACTGACTGGATTAATCTAATGAGGAATCCATGACCACTTGAGTTCAACGCTCTTCAGTGTAGGCAATAACTACCGAAAAAAATGGGTAAGGCTGAGGAGAAATCTTTGATTTATCAAAGTTATACATTATCACTATTGTTGAATGTCCAGTCAGTTGTCTATAGAAGTTAGGCGTTCACATGCGAGACCGAAGGTCCTGAGTTCAATTCTCGCGAGGGGGTTACGTAGATGCGTACTGCTGAAAAGTCTCATACTAGAGTAAATCCGCCTCCCAGTGCTTGTGTGTTTATAATGGATGCGCACTGACACCGATGAGTAATTCCATACCAGGATGAAACGACCGTCCAATGCTTCCAGGTTTCCAATAGTGGTCTAACTTTGATCGATTCATCATGTTTCAAATGTACAGCTTAACAATCTTCACAACCCCGTAATGCTAATTCATTATTAATTAACGTGACATAAATGACCGATAATTTACAATTAGGACATCAACTGTCTCACTCAAATGTCAATCACATATTGATTGAGAAAAAATTCCAATCTTCCAGTAAAGCAACCTGCTAAAATTTAACTGAGTGATACGTTTTTGTTGAAGTAATTAGTCAGGAAAAACATTCTTCTTGTATTGGTTGAGACTTCCGGTGAAGACTACGATCGATCAATCAAGTTTGGTATGTAAACATTGATATACTTGAGACTAATACGAGTTCACCTTAGCCGGTTAAGGAGAGAGAAGGCTACTCTAATCCAAGTGTCCCAAAGCCTCACTAAGTAGAGGGAGACGATTTTACAAGACATAGAAAGTGTATTGTACAAGCTCGCAGAAAATCGAGGTTTTCACAAGCACACAAATCGAGTTTATTTATACTCCATATAAACGTCCTTGGGAGAGCCAAAAAAATAGCGTACTAAAATAACACAACAACCAACAACAGTCAAGGATTTTCCGAGTAAAAAAATATAATCTCAAGGTCAGCTGATCAGCCCATGCGCTAGAACATAAAATCCAAAATTAGGACCTGTATCAAGTGAGTTTCGGGGATCTAACTTTCCCAACAGCCAATAAGCACTAGGCCTAGATCATGAAAGTTTATTGCGAAGTACCCCACAAACCAGAATTATAATATAATAATAACTACAGGCTTGGGGTAATAGGCAATGAGAGATACTCTACAGGGAACTTCTGACATAAGAGCACCTACGATACGATTATCGAACAATTTAAATGACACATCATTGAAGTACAATGAATGAATGAAGGGGATGCTACAATAGTTTGTTAAGCGCACCATTTTAGCCACTCACGACAAAACTCCAGTGTGGAGGAATGATCGAGTATATGATAAAATAAATCTTCCTTCAGACTTCCGTAGATTACATACTTAGGCTAACCACGTTTGTGCGACGGTAGTAATAAAAACGCCAAAAATACGGTTTCTCGGATGAATTTATTTCATGCAATCATTTATGCATTCAAACATGAGAATGGATAGCGTACAGGCGAGTCTAAGAGAATTAGAGAAGGTGAGTGAGCCAACTCTTCATGAGCTGAAGGACGACTAAGTACTTATATTCAGGCAATAAGACGCTAGACATGTAATAAGCGATAAAACATCCACACACAATCAAATATAAAATAATCGATACGGTTATCGAATTATTACAAATACAAAAAACTGATCGATACCATTATTGAATTATTTAAACGACAAATCATTGAAGTACGATAACTGATTGGTGAGATGCTACAAAGGTAGACATTGACATCGCTCGATGCTAGGCAAATGGTCTAGAGGTTAGGTCCTAGGTTCAACTCCAGTGACTACAGCTTGTGGATCCGAATTGCTGACGATTTCCATTCCAGAACAAAACAGTCATCCTGTGTTTCCAGTTTTTGTTCAAATAATGAATGGTCTAACAAATATTGATTCATGATCTTAATGAAATCTGTTTCCTTTCGTATGCCAGAATCACGTTGAAACCACTAGTTTCTGCACACATTTCGAAATACTCAAACTTGTTTATTGCTTATAATAATCTCAAGTATATCCGATTATCTACTCAGTGATCTGCTAAAGTAACTCATCCTGGAGCCCTTCTAGGTTTGTTGCCGATCCCAAGCCCAGATAAAGGTGGAGGGTTGGGCAATGGGTTATCGACCTCATCCTGTAAAAAGCCAAATCGATAAAAAAACCTAAGCAGAATAGCTCGGCAGCCTGTGCTCCATTCAGAGTAACAGTGTTGTGTAAGTAAAATCTATTATAGAAATCATTTTGTTGGAGATTTCTCATTTCTTTGCAGTTTACTACTCCAACTTACAGTCTTGTAATATAACCTACTTTTGTCGATAAACACACAAATTCATACGATCATTTAGTGAAAAGACATGAACAGGGGAGTGTAGATAGTAAATACTAAAGACGAATGTGTGAGTTCGCGCAAAACCTTAGATTGATCAGCGTTAGACATTAACGCTGTTGTATGCCGACTCAGTAATCTTCAGAATAGGTGTTCTCTAACGAGGCAGAAAGTATCGAGTTCAAATCCTGATGGATTCAGAAGTCAGTGCGCAGTGCAGCTGATGAGTCTCATACCAGGGCGTAACGGTCACAATTCAATGCTTCCAGGTTTCTAATGTTTGTCTAATAATGATTGACTGATGACTTTAATGTCTAGAAAACACTAATCTCCATAATAACTGAAAATATCGTAAAACGTGCTCACTAGTGACTAGATTCATGGGGGGAATTCTCCGAGTTCTAGTGAGAAGACGTAATCAGTGGAGTTCAGCCCTATCGGGTGTAGACAGTAAGTACCGAAAACAAATGGGTGAGGTCGCGCAAAAAAACATTCCTAGGTTGATCAGAGTTAGACATTAACACCATTGGATGCCAGCCCACTGGTCTAGCAATACCGATAGTTCGAATCCTGCTAGGTGCAGGAGTCCTGGCTGTGCGCTGCTGCTGTGTACCATAGCAGGACGAAACGGCCATCCATTGTTGATGATTTGAAATGTGTAAAATCAAAAGAATGCTCATCTTTGAAAGTGATTTGAATAGAGACTAATGCTTACTGAGAATTATAAGATTTTCCGTATATTACCCCCATATTCTTTCAGAAAATTTCATCCTATTATTCATCATACAACCACTACATTGATTGTTACATCATAACTGGTAAAAATTTAAAAAAAAAACACTGACTCATACATAATTGACTGACTAATACAATTTCAAATATGCACGTAAAAAATATCGTTACTCAACCTACTCATTGTTACATTGTTTTATTTCTGTGGTATACCTAAAACACCAACACCAAAATAGCAAATGTTGTCAACTTAGGCCTATTGTAAACATATTTTTTGCGATAATTAGTGATTAGCGAGAAAGTATGTGTGTATGTGTATGTGTGTGTGCAGTACCGAAAATTACCTCCTCGAACATTTGTCATGTTGAAAAATTCAAATTGGATCAATCAACATTGAATTGAGCGGGTTTTCTAAATTGATCATTTATTGTGACCTTCGTATACATATATAAATACAGATAATGAAAGGGAAATTACGAATCGGATAATTTTTGATGAAATTATGATGATGATGATGACGACGATGAGGATGATTGCATTTTGTATGATGATCACTTTACTCTCATTACAATCATACGAGTGTGGATCGAAATTTTGCAATGGTATGTTAGTTAGTACATTCGAATAAATGCTCTTATTTATTATTGATCCGTTGTTCAATAAATCAGTAAGATAACTCTCATTTCAAACAGTTCACACTGGAAATTCATGTCGATTTTTAATCATGAATGATGTTTAATTTAGTTTATTGTTAGACTATCACTTAGAAAAATCTAGAAACACTGGACAGACGTTTTGTATATCGGTAGTGCTCATCCACTGCCCCTGCTACTCGCAACAATCGAACTCAGGAGCTTCAGTCTTGTGCGTGCGCATCCTTAACTTGTGAACCACTGAGCCGGCATCTAGCGGTTTTTATTTCTAACTCTGATCAGTCTCAGGATTTAGCTGAAATCGTGGATACACACTGCTGAGAAGTCCCTTACCATGCAGTAAAACAATGATCTCCATAATTCGATAATGCGAATATTATACAATGTGCTCAGCAGTGACAAGTCATGACCAGTGCAGTTCAACTCTGTTATGATATGAAGCATTGCTTACCAAAGACAGTGAATGGGACTGCGCAAGACCGTGGATTGATCGAAGGTAGACATTAACATCGTTGGATGTCACAAGCTCAGTGGTCTAGAGGTTAGGCGTTCACTGGCAAGCATGAAGGTCGTGGGTTTGAATACTACGAGGGGCAAGAGTCGTCCCATAGTAGGACGAAACTGCCGTCCAGTGCTTCCAGGTTTCTAATGGTGGTCTAACTGTTACGCCTGCACGTAAGCATGTAAATCTGGTATGCTTGAACTATTACGAGTTTACCTAGTCGGAAAACGAGAGCGAGGATCGAGGATCGGGCGACACGACATGCTACTCAAATCCGATTATCCCAACCCCATATTGAATAAAAGAAGAAAGCTTGATATGAAGTAGAACCTGTATTCTACAAGCATCCAGAAATTACGAGGTTCGAGTCCAGAAGAGAATCGGGATCCCGAATTAGGGATTCGGGACCGGGTCCTGGTTCTGGTCCTGGTCGTGGTCATGAAATGTTACAAATAATGCGTATTTATACATTTATGTCGAATACAAAGCAGCATGGAACTCTGTGACATTGACAGTTGAGATGAGCAATAGGAAGCAGCATTTGAAGTGACATTGATATTTAGGACGATTATAAAATTGACCAGTAGAAATTAACTAATAGGAATTGACCAATAATTCTCTTAGGATATTGAATAAATATCCTAACATTAACAACTATCGATTCATGATTTTTTA